CATGACATATACAAGGTCAAGGTGAACCACTCTCCTTATTTATTACCACTGTGAACCTGCAGCTTGCAAAGCCAGCAACCAGCTTTCAAATGTCCTTTCAAATACTTCTAGAAGCATGTCTTATTGATTTCTAATTCTCTTGATGAAGGCTTGACAAATACCAAATGGTTTGAACATGTTTTTTGTTTCCCATACGATAAACAATGACATGAAATGTATTTGTGTGATGTGATTCAATAACTTGTTGGACCCGTGAAGATCCGGAGTAGAATAGGTCTTCAGCAACCCATAAGGCGACTATGCTTGTCATAAGAGGCAACTAATGGGATCGGGTGGTGAGGCTCGCTGACTTGGTTGATGTATGTCATCAATCCCAATTGTGAGGATCGATGCTCATGATGTCAATCACTGGATTTTCTGGTCCAGACTCGATTGAATACAGACCGCCGTCATATAGCTGGACTATTACTGAGTGCAGCTTTAAACAACAAACAAACAAACAATAACTTGTTGACTACAGTCTGTGATGATTACTGTGTGATAATGATATGACTCAGTGTTTCGTCTAGTTATTATGCTGTCATTTTGTGTATTTCTGTTGTGTGAATGTATTTAAATGTCATCTTCTTTTTCAATGTCTAAACTGCTTTTGTTTTTATAGTTTCATAGAGTTTTGTGAGGCATGAATGGGTAGTCGTCTAAGGCGACACAGTTGACTTTGTGGAATGGGCTCCCTTTGATGTGCCAGGGATAATGATCATAGGTTCGAATCCCAGTTTCGCCCTGATTGTTTCAAAGTTAGTCAGCTCAATACCCTTGCTTGTTGGTTTCACCAAATCACTCATGGCTTCCCTCACATATCAAGCTGACATGCCCCTGATGTAATAAATGAAGTACTGTTCAAAGAGGAATTAAACCAAACTCCCTCACTCATAATTGTTTTATACGGCAAAGAAATTAATCTGCAGTGTTAGAAATTGGCACAAGTCCTTCACTGTCCTTTCCAAACTGCCCAATAGTGCAGGTATCAAAGAACTAGTAGAAATGTGCCATTTTAAGGGGTTTTGCTATATGTTATCATTGTATGGACTAGTGGACTAAAAATGTTAGTTTCTACCACTAATGTTTAGATAAATATAGTACTTGTACTATATTTTGTACTTTGCCTCATTTCATGAACAAGGTGATAGAACATCAGAGAAAGTGTTGTTCTGACATCAATATCAATATTCCATTATATTTGTGGCTGCAGACCTACCTGATGGGGCTGACTGATGGCTGTGAGAGGCAACTAGATTGGATCGGGGAATAGGCTGTGTGACTTGGGTGATTGGGTGCCAGCATGCCCCAGTGATGGGGATCACCAGTCGCTGGTTTGCCTGGTTCAAACACAGTTTTATACAGGCTGCCTTGTTGTATGAGATCAGGGTATCAGATTGCCTCATTTTCTTGGACATTGACTGATTGTCATAAATGTCCTAAAACTTACCGTATATGACCGCGGATAAGCCGACCCCGCAGATAAGCCGAGGTGTTAACTTGACCATTGAAATACGAAAGAAAATGATATGACCCGCAGATAAGCCGAACCAGGAATTGAAAAGCAAAAAACACAGAGATTCAAAAATATAAGATGAAAAAAATTATATTGAAAAAGTCATTATTATTTCTAAAAAAGGATTTAACAAACCAGTCATCCACTTTCATAATGTGGGAAGCTGTTTCTCTTGTCTTTTTTTAATCTCATAATGATCGTTATGTGTTGCCATCAACAACGAAGCGCCATTTTGTGAATCGGTGTATATAGAATTATGAACCCGTGAGAAAATATATCAGCTAGAGCGAAGACTCGCAGTTTTAATTCAGCATCGTAAGCATGGCGTTTTCGTTTCAAGCTCATAATGAGAATGTCAGTCAGTAAAAATATACCAACTTTTATAACCCCCTTTACACCACTATTGTATGTTAATCCAATTGAATTAAATAAACTATCATACTATGAACACATTAAATTACCATCACTTACTCACAGGCTTCTCCAGTTTATGAAACTAATCTCTCGAAAACAAAGGAATTAAGCCCCTACTCCCAACCCGATCGCTAAGCACCCACAACTTGAAAATGTTTGTGTAAACAACATGACAATACCAATCGGCCCGTTATAATCAGTGCTCATTTCCTTGTGTACCGTGTTGCTTTTTAAACAACAGAAGCAATCACGGTGGTCACCGTTTGTGACGTCACAGGAAACAGCTGATCACATGTTTTTGCAAATGGCGAACGGAATAACTCGCCGATACAGTTTTATATTTGCTCTCAATAAAGGTAGACACTTGTTCACTATCAATTTATGCACTTTGCAAAACGTACGTAATAGCTATTGGCGATTGCATCTGGGGATTATATATTATAGCTGTGAATTACATATATTGTTACATGTAAAGATTGTGGAGTTTATGAAGAACGATAAACTTTGAACATTCAATTGAAAACTTATTATCGGAAGTAGTAACATGCATAACATTTTTTTAATAATGACAACATTAGTGTATAATAATAACTTTATTGATAATTTATAACAATAATGATTCTAGTCGTGGCAACTTCCAAACTTTCGGGAAGTTGTAATCTATCGGACCGTCATTCAGGCGATGTTTCTGACAGATCACGATCTGAAAAATACTATCATCAAAGTGCATGCACATGTGTATGGCTGTTTGTACTAGTCAGGACTAAGATACCAACCCACTTAGATACCAAGCCACAGTTTAACATGGATACCCCACACGGATGCAGTATACTTCCTCCGAGCAAACCAGTCCTTGTTTTATCCCCTTAGGGCCAGGTAACAAGTACCATCTTTGAAAGTCTTTGGTTTGATGGTGGACAGGGGATAGAAGCACCTATGTACCGCTCTCCAAGCAGACATTCTATTCACTAGATCACGGAGGCTGTCTCCCCTGAAGATATTTTAGATTTTTGGTTATGGTAATAAGAATTGTCCTGTCAAAATTTGCAAGTGTCTTAAAATGTCCTGTTGACATTTGTATCCAGCAAAAACACTTTTGAAATAGATGGAATATATTCTTGACTGCACCGTAAAACGACATTCATTCACTCCCTCAGTCTCAGACTTGTGTAACGTTTATCCACATGCATAGTTCAGGCTTGGTGCTTCATTAATGATTTTGCTTGTTTGTTTGTTTGTTTGTTTGTTGTTTAACGCCACATTCGGCAATATTACAGCGATCTGTAAATAATCGAGTCTTGACCAGACCTTCCAGTGATTGACATCATGAGCATCGATTCACGCGATTCATACGATGACATGCATCAACCAAGTCAGGAAGTCTGACCACCCAATCCTGTTAATCGCCTCTTACGACAAGCATAGTCACCTTTTACAGCAAGCATGATTGCCTGAGACCTATTCTACCCTGCATCTTCACAGGTCCTACATTAATGAATAAGAGTTGAGACAGATAGCATTATCGCTGCTCATGTCATCAGTAAAAACATAGTTTTCTGTGTAATTGTAACAGAAACTGTTGCTCTTGAGAAAGACATGAATTAATGAAATATGTAGCCTGATGCAGATCCTAACCTGATATGTATTCATCCCACATTGTTGACACAGGCTGTTTGTCTACACTAGGAAAGTCTTAGTGCACCATTATTAGTGTTGCATGACTTATTTATTTGTATACATGATTTAGTTCACCTTTCATTACAGGTGTTCATTGTATGTCAGATTGTGAATACCGAGACAGGTATTTTTTGGATGTTGCACATTATGAATACGAGACAGGTATTTTTGGCTTGTGGAACATTGTGAATGCTGAGACACCATACCTGTCATTAACAGTGATTAATGACAGGTATTTATTAGATGTGACACAATGTTAATACCAAGACAGATAAGTATGTTGCAATGTGTATCATGTCATTCATTGACATAACATACCAATACCATTGTGATCAAGGTGTAGGTTTTATGCAGCAATGTGTGCATGTCATGATATGCATTTTTAGATTCTAATATAACCATGGCAGAAAGTTCATGAGTAATTTTCATGTCGAAACCTGTGTTAATCGTGCTTGGTTATACACCACTATGTATAAACAAACAATGAGTTTATTAGGTACACACATGTTAAAATACAAATTTATGCGTCCCACAATGTATATTAACCAAGACGTGGACATTGTGTTCCAAAATAGGCCCTGAGTATCATCTCATGCTTGTCGGGGCATGGGTTGTCCAGCCGTCTAAGCATGCTAAGGAGCCACATTTCACTGTGCATAGTTGCGTACCTATGATTGTGGGTTTGAATCCTGGTTTGCCCCGATTAGGTTTTTAGGTTTGTAAGCACCATACCTGTGCTCGTGGGTTTTGCCAGAGTGACCTGCATCACTTAGGGCTTAGCTGACACGCCGTGATATAACTAGAATACTGTCAAAGCATTGTTGAACCCACCTTAATCACTCATGCTTGTCATTATCCCACTATGGGAATTTGGTGGTTCCCTGACTAATTGTGTATAGTACCCTGACAAGGTGGAGTGTTGCTCCTGCTTTTGACCATTTGTTTTGCATGATCCAGGCTTGAAGACGATAAAGGCTTGCAGGTGATAAAACTCTTAATTTTGCTGTCTACAGTGTAATATTACATTTACTCCCTCGCTTTACCGAAGTTTTATATGCCACAGTGTACAAGTGTAACTAAATCATGTTTATGTACTACCTTGTAATTGCCATGACAGATGTTGTTACTATTGTGTTTTCGCATGCCACAGTTCATAAACCATAACATATTTGTATTTTGTACCACATTGTTATTGCCATGACAGATTTATCTTCAACGTATGTGCCACAGTGTCAATACCATGACACCTATTCCAGTAAATACCATAGTTATTTACCATGATATATATTGTGGTATGTTTAGTGTTTGTCCACTGACAGATACAATGTACATGTATGTCTCTGTCTGTCATCAGACCCGGCGCCACAGCAGCCTTTGAGCCCCAGCTCTCTCCCAGGTGATGATCCCAGTCTTCCAAAAAGTAATCATGTATTTCTAGTATTGCACAGTGCTATCTTCTCAGTCACTCCACCAGATAACCTGAACAGATAGAAACTACTGCTATGCACTGGATAGGCCGGCGTTCCATGTAGTGTTGTCTGTAATACTGAAAGCTGTAGTGCAGTTCATAAAGTGAATAGATAATCGTTAAAGTGAGTAACTTTTGTAATGGTAAAATGTTGTGGAATGGACATAGTATTTTCCTGTGTATGTATTAATACACTGATAAGTTTTTAACAAATTCCCTGCATGCTTTGTAATCAGCATAGTTTGTAACTTGAGTAATCTTTAAAGTAAGATAAACGTTGATTACAATTTTATCATAAATTGTTTTTAATTCCTTTGAAGTAAGTTTGAAGATCTTGACAAGTTTGTAGGACCCTGACGATGATAGTAATGTTTATATATTGAAAATATAACTCAAATTGTACTAAGCATGCTAAGAGGATGAAAGGTCAAGAGGCTAATGTCAACATTTCACAAACCCATAACCCAGATAATAGGTCTATATAGGTGACAGTCTGTCCTTGACCATGATATCATGATGATAGTCTTTAATTTCCAAATATGTAAATAATAACAGACATTATGCAGTTTCATCTCAAGAGTTTGTAGCCTGTCTGCCTTATTGTAGGGTTGGGGATTGCTTTCAGTAATCACTTCCTAATGAGAGCACTAGCTTGATACTGGCTTCAGCAGTTTGAAGCTTGGCTAAGTAGGGGAGTTTATCTGGAGTGACTGGAAGGTGGCATAGTGTATTGTTTGAGTTGTACAGCTTCAGCTTCTACCTATCATTCTGTACACATCTTTGGTTTATTTATTAACAAGCTTTTATTTGCAGTTTTACTAATAGTTGTGTGATACCAGGCTTCAAGATGCAATGGTTACCTTATTCAGTGACAATGTGTTAGAATGTTGTGAAGAACAGTGGGATTTGGAGCATTGATTGTTTTCATACTCGTTATCGTTTTTGAACAAAAGAGGATTTGATCCAACCTGAAGTTTATCGTTTGATTAATTGCAAATTGATTTTAGAATCTGAAGTCAGTCCCAAATGTTAGTGCCGACTAGCCAAACCTTAAAAAGGTCAATTTCAACTCATTTTGCTCTTTTTGAATCATTTACTAAGTAAGCCTGATAACAAAATCAATAGAATCCAGCAGGGCCTGATAAAATGTGCCAACTACTTTATACTACAAGTATACAAAATTGCTTTGGATGAAATGTTGGATAATTATTTCAGTGAAAATTTGCAGATTGACAGAATTTTATATATTGAGTGTTTGTAGCCTGGTATTAGAAAACTACAAGTTGCGTTCATGTCACCAATTGACTAATATGACATGTTTTTGCAGTGCTTTATGTATATCCGTGCTTGTATTGCCCGTATATCCTGGCTATATCTTCTGGCTGCCCTTCTCTACAGTATACTGCCTTCTACAGTGTGTACTGTTTTGTTATACTGAGGCATGATAATGAAAACTGCCATGTGGTATATCTATTATTCATGAAACTGGTTGTATTATATTGGATGGATGATTATATTATGTTATAAGTGTATGTCATAACATGGACTATTATCTTGCTTGTGTAATTGCATGAACTGTGTATAATGGAGTTCTATGGATATGAGTTTCCACCTCGGTGAAATTCAAACGGTCTTGTAACTCCATGACAGAGGATGTAGTTTTGATGTGATGCTGTCAAAAGATTTAATGTGTATTTTTTTCTTGGGCATGCACTGATTATTATATGTATCAGTGAAATGAAATGCTAACTTTGCTCACATATTTGATGCTGCAGTAGATGTTCAGGTAAATGAGCCATTGAGGTTTAATGCTTCTACCCTTTTGATCCTTGATTCTTCGGGTTGAAAACAGTATTTTTGCATATGTTTGGGGAAGTTGCGTCATTGATGAGAGGATTTTGCAAATTGTTCTGAGCGTTTTATGGACAAGGACATGGCAGACAAGGTAGTAAGTTCTGTTCTTTAGCTCAGTTATTCCACAGCAGTGTTCAAGGTGTTGTTGGAGCAGACAGTATTGTCTGGTTGTGATCAGACACTCCTGCTTCCAGACAGTCAGTCGGGTGAGTTGGTACTCAACAAAGTACATTCTTGATGTGTTCATGCTGAAGAGTTCACATCTCGGATTCACCAGGATTATCATCTTTGGTTGTTCAGGACCATACTTTTGATATCACCAAAGTGGTATCAATCTAATACATGCTCCACTTTTGACGTACCTGACTTTCTTTCAAGGTGGTGTTAAAACCAAACCTTCTCACTGATTTTTCATGATACTATGAGCACAAGAATCCAAATGAAGCATCACCTGCTGTCACATCTACACCGGGAACGATGGGAGAGTTATGAAAGCATCCTGGTGTGCCTACTTTGAAAAGATGTGGTGGTCGACCTGCATATACATTCTCTTTCCATTTCCAGACCAAAACGGTAAAGGGATTTGTTGGGCTTTTAACTTGTCACAATTTGCCTTTCACAGTCACTTAAAATACATAATTGAAGCTAATTTGGGTTAAGTAGACCCATTTCCCTGAATCAGTTTGCAACAACATGATGTCCAAATTCCTGGATAAATCTTGCTTTGATAAATTTCTCTTTTGACCTAAGACTATAGGTAAAAAGAACTCAATTTTTCAACTTTTGTGGATTTTAACTAATTGTTTGCATATTTTAAGTGATATTTATTAAGGGCATAGTCTCTGAAATGTGATCTATGAAAAATTCTACTATGACATTTAAGCATGCTTGATTCTGATTGGTCAAAACAGGATTAAATTGAGGTATCAAATTTGATTTGATACTTCTAGACTACAGTCTGTGACTTTTGCCTCTAGTCTGAAGCCTGAGTCTAGTAAAATTCAGTTTGGTCTGGTAAGCTCAGCTAATAATAATCAATATAATAACATTAAACTACACAAAAAATTATGCTAAGAGCCAATTCAGGCTAAACTCCAAAATTTTGGCACAGACTGTCTCTAAATAATTTTTTCACACTAAAAACGTGTAGGAAAACATCGATCTGTTGATAGCCTAGTCTGATTGTGGTCTATGAGTAAGTGGTTACTCAGTTTTCATTCATATCAAGGTTGAGAGGGAAAGAAACGAATTTGAAAGTCTGTGAAGGGCATTTCCCCTCATGGACATCAGAAATATCTGTCATTCATCAATCAAGCTAATCATGCCACAGTGTGAGATTCAGATGCTAAACCAACAGCCAAACACATAGATTCTCTTAATGGTAGTATCTAGATTAGTCATTATGAAACATCTAGTAAGGCTTTAGCCAACTGTAATTAGTATTAAATGAGTACTTGGTAAGTCTTCCTTAAGATGGCAATCTGCCTGTAAACATTTGTTGTTCTTTTGATATCAGTTCTATCAGTTTGGCTGTAAGAGTTTGATAAGAGCTCCAGTGGTGTAGTGTGCTGATCAAGGTTCTACTACACAAACACTTGTAGTTGATCAGTGATACTGGTTACAAGTGCTTCACAAGATTAGTACTGACTGACTGCTTCACCACTCATGCCTGGTGCCACCGCCATGTCTACATTTAATAATGGTCGTAACACATGGCCATTATGGAAGTTTCAAATCAATCTGTAGGAATGGTCGACATAAATTTTGCCATCCAATATCTTAATGCATGAATGCTCTTGTATGCCATGAAGGAAAACATTATTTTACAGTTTGTTATTAATTTGGTTGTCCTTTTTAACAGACAGGCAGAATTTGAAGTACCGGTAGTCTGTTACAATTTTAAGCCCTGTTAATGATGTTAGTATTTGTAGAGGCCAAAAAAATACTTATTAGTGTACAATGATAAGTCGAGGATGTGTCATAATCTCTTGTCAAGTGAATATCAGACTGAAAATTGACATAATAATAATAATAATAGGCCATTTTTATTGTGCATATTTCCACCCCATACGGGGCATGCTGAAAGCTCTGTTACCCCGGTCACTGGATCTGTGTGCACTCAACAATTTTCTCAGCTCCCTAGGGAGTATACAACCTAAACTGCCTGTTAGGCGCAAAATGGTTAACCACCACATTACCATCTCATCCTACCGAGTACCCATTCACTGCTGGGTGAACAGAGGCCCATTTTGAACAAAGACATCAGTAAAAGTAAAGTTATGGTGTTCAAATCTGAGTGTATCTAGGGAATTTGTTTGTTGCATGGCTAATCAGTTCTAAAGTACAGCAAGGTGTCCTTTCACTGTTGTAATCCACATTTGCACAATACATCTGACGTGATTATCAGAGCATTGAGAGCAATGGGGTAGATATAATACGTTTTCTCATGTGAGTTGATGTAGGATGTATTCACCAGACAACTGATTGTTTACATTAGTTGTACATCCTGGATTTATGATTCTCAGCGAGCAGGAAATAACCTGTGTTGCAGCCTCCAATTATACAAAAAAAGGGATGGATTCATAAACACATGTAATTACTGTTGTGCTGTGGAGTTGGGACAAACTGTAGGATGAAAAGAATGTGTTTGATCAGTTTTCAAGATATTACTATTAATAGCTTTACAAAGATACTGAGCTGTAATGTTCGGAATTAAGAAACAAAATAGTTATAACCTCAAAATATGTAATTATTGAACAAGTTGACTTTATTTATTTGTCTGTCAGATTATTATATTTTTATCTGGTACTACCGGGAAAATATGAATTTTCTACACTTTTTAAGATAAGATCCTAGACAGGGTTAGAAACTAACAGTTCTTGTCTACTAGTCCTTATAATGTTAACATATAGCAAAACTCTTAAAATGGGCCATTTTTTACTAGTCCTTAGGATACCTTTACTATTGGGCAGTTTGGTAAAGACTACAGGACTAGTGCCAATTTCTAACGCTGCTAGATTCGTAGAAGCAGAATATTTAACAGATTCGACCTTGTGTACATTTGCTACTGATTTTGCTCAGGCTCAAGTTGGATGTAG